GTGAAAGCACCCTCCGCAAAGAGTGCCTTTCGGGAGCGGAGAGCATGCATGCTCCGCTCCCAGGCAGACAACGCACAAACTGTGTGTATCCGCACCCGTAATGAAACGCGGGCAGGGAGGAACACACAGTTTGAAACGCTGGCTGCCTTCGCCCCTACTCAAATGATGTGACTTGTCATGTGCATTGGACATAATTATTTTCTTTATTTTCTAGCCCTATGGGACAGACAACACCAAATATGACTCACAAACAGATATCAGACTGACACACACACAGAGCGCTTGCTGAATGACAAAAAGCTGACGCTGGTCTCACCGCACGTGACGTCTCGCCCAGCTGTTGGTCTGATTACACACGAGATTCAGAGCCCGTCACGCTGAACGGCATTCCCCTAGCGTTTTTCGACGCAGCTCGAGTTCCTGAAGAGGAACTACTAAAACTGAAAAAAAAATGTATTGATGTTATACAGAAATATAAAAAAACGAATAAAAATGACAAACGCACAAACTAAAACTGAAACAAAACTAAATGCTGCATTTTACAAAGCAAAAACTAATAAAAATTACAATAGCCCAAAAAAAATGATTAAAACTAAAACTGGAAATACAAAAATAAAAGCTAATTCAAAATATTAAATAGAACTGTAATAGCATCTAAACAATACTAAAATAACAAAAAATATAATGTGATGCATTTTATAGTGATAATGCCATGTTATCTTGATATATGTAATGTCACTGAACAATTAGCATAATCAGATTGTATTTACTAGCGTTTTAACTATGGTACATATCTAAAAAACTTGGTATTACAGCAGCATCGTGCCAAGAGAAATATATAGATGCACATGGAAATTTTCTTCAATAACTGTATTCATATGAAATTTTGATATATTTTAACAGTACAGTAAAGTACTTTCATGGTATGTTTTTCAATTCTATATCTCTTTGCAAATTCCACTTTTTTTTTTTTTTTTGTAAGATGAACCTTTAATATCAGCAAGAAGTTGCCGAGACAGGTTGCCTGGGCTTTTCTGTTGTGCAAACACGTAGAGTCAGAGAGGACGGTGAGTCGATGCATCAGTGCACTTGGCCGAGGCTTTTACTGCAGAGGATAGACGCTCGCCTGACTTAGAAAATCAATAAGATGTGTGTGTCTTGACTTTGAGCCAGACAAAGCCATCAGTCCAGCTGACATATTGACATGAGAACGTCTCCAGCTCCGTCTTTACTCCACTGAAATTCTGCATTTACTCTAGTAAATAAATAACATGGTAGTTCAGTACCCTGCAGTATTACCATCATTAAACCACAATCCTGGTATGTCAGTGTGACATTGTTCTGATTCCAGTGATCTCTTTGTCCTTGCTTTCTGTGTCATCTTGGTTGCCGTTCTGCTGGAGTACTCACTCTGAAGCCGAATCTCTTCAGACGTAAAAAAGCCTTTCCCAGCGGCGCTGTTATATTTAGCAGACCGCCACTTGCAGTTTCTGGGACACGGGTGTTACTCTCACGATGAAAATGCCCTGGAAACTCTGCGTTTGGTTGAGAAGCGCTTGTACCGTGGGGTTTTAGTGCCGCGTCGCTCCTGCACAGCTCAAAGATGCTTATGTGGGAGGTGTTTGAAGAAAAACATCTCACAGGAGTGCAACCGCACGCTTGATTTTCTACAACCGAAGCCTTATGGTAGCAATTAAAGATAAACTGCTCCTCTCGTTTTCACATTGAAAGGCAGTGCATTTTTAGTTTTGTGTGTGTGTTTTTGTGCATCATAACCTGCTGATCCTTTAGAGTGAATCAAGCACACAGTAATGATAGATAGATAGATAGATAGATAGATAGATAGATAGATAGATAGATAGATAGATAGATAGATAGATAGATAGATAGATAGATAGATCTATTAAATCTAATAGATCTAATAGATAGAACTAACCAGTGTTGTTATTATTAACTAAAGCAAACATTATTAAAAATAATTTGAATAAAGCAGAAATAAAATAAAATGTAAATATCAGACGACTTAAATGTAAAAGAAACTTTGAAGTTGAAGTACTAAAACTGAAATAAAATAGAAATTGAAGCTATAAAGAAAAGTTTGTTTTTATAAAATCCAAAACAAATAAAAAATGACCAAAACATATTAAAACCACTACTGAAATAAATCAAAAAATCCCTTTGGTCTATTTTATTTTGTTTTATTTTACTTTACTGTTGTCTATATTTATATTTGCTTTCATTATACACTTTCCTGGTCTTATTGTGAACTTTTTATCAGCGCATATTATTCCAAAAATAAATAAATAAATACTTAAATAAATAAATATTAGTCTTAATAATCTTAGTATTTACTGCAATTTTTAAATTGTAATACTTGTTTCCTTCTTTTTGGGTTAAATATCTAACATATTTATACTGTAAAAATAAAAAAACATAAACAGTAAATAAATGCTATACAGAAATGTTTTTTTAAAAAGCAAAAACATGCTTGACTTTGTACAACCGAATCCTTATGGTAGCAATTATAAAGATAAACGTTGCATGCAGGAACGCCGCCCTGTGTTTTCACACCGAAAAGCAATGTTTTTTTAGTTTTGCATGGGTGTTTTTGTGCATCATAACCTGCTGGTCTTTTAGTGCGAATCATGCACATGTGAAAGAAAGTACTGGCTGATGTGATCACGCTGAGATGCACTCATGCATTTAAGAACGGACTGCTGATTTCAATTAGGAGTGCAGCACTGAATGCGGTGAAACGGGCGGGAGAAAGTCTTGGCGGGGAAACTGACGTTATTGTAGTTCTGCCAGTAGCTCGACCGGCCTGTCACGGATATCAGTTATCTCACGGCTGAGGAACGCCACATGATTGTGCTTGTCCGTGGATCGTGTGACGTTACAGGGGCTGTTCTGGGGTCATCCAACAGGTGGCAGTAGGTGCTTAAAGCACAAAAATAAAGCAGAGCTGAGATTGTCTTCTTGATGGATGAATGAATGTTGAAGCAGCTCTCTGAAGCTGAAGCTGGAGAGGGAGGATGGGTTGATGGGAAATAAGTGCCGTCTCTTTGCAAAGGTCAGCAGTGCAGAGCGAACAATTAAAGACTCATTTAGACACTTTCCCAGATCACCAGTGTGTTTCTGAGTCACTGATAATGGGGGAGAACAAAATTTATTTTATTTTATTTTATTTTTTAATTTAATAGATTTTAAAAAATTTGTACTTTAGTTTAATATTTATATTTACTTTCATGAAACACGTCAATGGTCTTGTTATTGTTGTTATTCCAAATTAATAATAAAAAAGAAACAAAATTGAAAAAATTGAAATGAGATAATTGATGGATGAATGTAATATCTGAATGTATATATATACACCATATTATATATATATATATATATATATATATATATATATATACACACATATATATATATAATATATATTAGGGGTGTGACGAGACACTTATCCCACGAGATGAGATGAGACATGAGACTGAGTTCACGAGAACGAGACGAGATTTTTTGACTTTTTTTTAAAAAATCCTCAATGATGAAATATATAGGGAAAAATAGTATTTTATTCTTATTAATTAAAATCATGAAATTTATACATTTTCACATCAATTTATTAAAAGTTTAACAAAAATGACATGTTTAGGGCCCTATGAAATGTTTAATTTTTTCTCACCATATTATTAATATTTTTTATTGTTACCAAATTCTGTGTTTTAGCATGTCTAATTATTTGAATGCATAAAACAACTTAATTTATTCATTTTTTTCTTAAAGTAGCCTTGTGAATTTTTGTCCCCCTCAGAAATTCTGTTATGTATATTTACATTTTTTCTGGTTCAGGCATAAAACATTAATTTAATCTATAATTTATCTTTTAATTATTTAAAATTAAGCAAACAAGATTTTTTGGCAAACAAAGGGGATTTACTATTAAAATTAAAACATGGAAGACATGTTTTGTGTGATTATTCCTTAAAAAATAATGTTTGTTTCATTTTAGTAGTAGTAGTAGGCTATGTACATTCTACTGAAAAATAGTTATAGGCACAATGTCTTCAAATCAAACCGGACTTTTATTTTGACGGGTTGCCGTGAATACCTTTACAGTTCTGTGTATGTGATATGATGCTAGTTTTACTCAAATCAAAGGCTAAAATGCTCATGAAGTGACTCTCAGAGCAGTTCTGGAGATGTTGTTCATGTGTTTACGTCCTCATTTAGTGAGACGGCAGACGCTGAATCACCGCGAGTCACGCGCTCTTCAGTGTGTGTAGTAAATGAAACCGCGCGTCTGCGCCATTCATAAACAGAGACAGTTAGAACATGCAGGATTCATATTTAAATCGACTTTTGCGCCTTAATATTTACAGATACTAGTCCATATCGTGATTTGATTTACGTGTAATGACCTACTTTTGATTAATTAATTCAAAATTTGAATTCGTGACATTCCTCGTTAAACTGTGAATTCTGTTTTTATGACTGGATAAAGATGCGATATCGCTGGGTAAAGACTGGATATCATCCCGTTCTCTCGAGACCAGTCAGATCTCGCTAGATCTCGTGCCATGAGATCTCGTCACACCCCTAATATATATATATATACTGTATATGCATATTATATGTTTTATTTAACCACAAAAAAGGAGAAGAGCACTTGACTTGAGTGTTTGGCTAATTTCATGTTGCTATCTAATTCCAAATTCATTTTAATCCCATTTTATCTTCTTTAAATCCATTGCACAAAATTCCAGCAGATCATCTCCCAAATTCAGTGCAGAAAATATGATCTAAAAAGAATGAAAGATTCAATGTAGGTTTAAGTAGTCATGTCCGTTACGTATCTAATAATTTCCCAGGTTTGTACATGAACTGTGATGCTCCCTAACCATAATGACCTTTGATCCCTCCGTCTCTTTCAGCAGGGCTTCAGAGGAAGCCGCCCATGAGGAAGTGTGTACGGTGAAAAGGCGAAAGGTCAGAGGTCAGGATGACGACAGTAGCCGCAGAATACGAGCACATGGACATCCAGCAGCAATACCAGGACAGTGTCAACAACCGCTGGGAGGAAGAATGGGACAATGAGAACAGCTCGGCCCGATTATTCGAGCGCTCGCGCATCAAGGCTCTGGCAGGTGAGTCGAAATCACAAAGTCCATCTGTGATGACGCTAGCTGATAAATCATGGATGCACATGACCTTCTTTTGGAGCTTGAAAGCTGTAGTTAAAAACAAAGAGAGGTAATTATTATCAGCAGAAGTGTATTGTTACTTGCTGCATTTTTGCTTTGAATAGCTGAAACTAATGCTTGATAATGTGACACCCACTCGCACATGACATGCAGTGATTTCGTGTGTGGGAGAGCAGAAAGAAAGTGGGCGTAAGTTCACACTTTCTCGGCTCCTTCTGAAGCTCCCACACCATTTCTGGTTCACAGCGAAGCCCTCGAGCCCACAGACCGACTCAGGAGGCTCTTGTGCCTCGTACAGGAACCTGAACACGTTACATAAAATCAATATGGAGATGGACGATGTTTTATTCGTGAGTTGAATTTTAATGCAGTTCCTATAGATGCTGATGTAGGAAGGGCCTCCTAAATGAACAACACACCTGTGCTGAACTAAAAGCACCTTTTGTAGAGTGGTTGCACACTAGAGACGATCCATTTTGAGGGTGTGTTTTTGAGGCTTTTTTTTTTTTTTTTTTTTTTTGTGCACTTCCCTGGTTTTATTGTGAAATTTTTATCAGAGGATGCAATTCCAAAATAAAATAATACAAATAAATAAAAAAAGATGAAAAAATAATGTAATATAATATTATAATATAATAATATTTTCTCTTTTACACATAATATACATGTGTAAAAATAATATATACTACCATTCAAACAAATTGTTGTTGGACTTTCTGAAAAATCTATTCTACTCACCAAGGCTGCGTTTATCTGATCAAAAATACTGTAAAATTAGTAATATTGTGAAATATTATTACAGTTTAAAAGAACTGTTTTCTATGTGGATAAATTGTAAAGTGTAATTTATTTTTGTGATGCGCAGCTGTATTTTCAACATCATTACTCCAGACTTCAGTGTCACATGATCCTCCAGAATTCATTTTAATATGCTGATTGCTGCTCAAGAAAACAACATTCAGTGTTGATATTTTTGAGGAAACCATGTTAAATTTTATTTTTCATGATTCCTTGATGATTAGAAAGTTGAAAACAACAGCATTTATTTGAAATAGAAATCCTTTGCAACATTCTAAATGTCTTTACTGTCACTTTTGATCAGTTTAATGCGTCCTTGCTGAATAAAAGTATTCATTTCTTTCATTTCGACTTCCTCGGGAGGGGTTCGGGCTTTAATTAGGACATTTAGACCACCATCACCTCTCCATAATTCTCACCGGGGTTTCGCTGTATTTCTTTCTTCATATGATTTATTCCCATACTATCTTGGATGACAGTAGCATATTTTTCCATCATGTTCTCCAAGTGTCATGCGTTTGAGTTGCTGTGTTTACAGAGGTGTGATGTTGTTTATGAGCATTTGCTGTTGCCGAGAGGAGCCGAGCATTAATGTGCACCAGGCTGTTATTCTCTCGGTGTGGCAGAGCTTAAACAGACCGACTTTAATGAACGAGCAGGCCTGTCCGCTCGCTGTGAGACTCACCCCGATACTTCAGGACTGAGGAAGATGGAACGTAAAAGAGAAATATAAAATATCTTCCTCTCTCTCTTGTTGCCAAAAACCACAAACCATTTCTGGAGTTGTAAAAAGCCCCCAGCATTCCAGTAAGCATCCTACATTTCACGTGATTGTGTTTTCCTGCAATCCTGGGCAGCAGAGCATACGCCGCCCTCACTCTCCCTCTCATTCTGGATCATGGAAGCAGGAGTAACGCTCAAGAAAGAGATACAAAACAAGTGAAAGGTGAAGAGTGTGATTATTTAAATAAAATTATCTCCCTGTTTAGGTTGATTTTCTCAATGTTTTGAAATGCTGTGACTCCTCCTCAATGCTATGACTCTGTCTTAATTTCAAAACATTGATCTAATAGTATGAACAAGCCTGATGCAGGTCAACCAATGACATGACAATCTGCTCATCCAACCAATGGCAGTGAACTCTGTTTATGAAAGTGAAAGGCCGTATGGCCAAGTATGGTGACCCATACTCGGAATTTGTGCTCTGCATTTAACCCATTTAAGTGCACACACACAGCAGTGAACACACACACACACGGAGCAGTGGGCAGCCATATTGCTGTGGTGCCCGGGGAGCAGTTGGGGGTTCGGTGCCTTGCTCAAGGGTCTCACCTCATTCGTGGTATTGAAGGTGGAGAGAGCGCTGGATTTTCACTCCCCACACCTACAATCCCTGCTGGACCTGAGACTCGAACCTGCAACCCTTCGGGTTAAAAATCCGACTCTCTAACCATTAGGCCACGACTGCCCCTAGACCGACTTCAATGCACCAGTGTCATGTTAATGACCATTTAATCTTAATATTGCACCAGTTAATGTTGCACTGAAAACCAAAACACCAAAACTAAAGTTGTCGTTTAGCCATAAACTGAAACTGAAAATAAAGTTTCAGTAATTAAATTTGTGTAATTGGGTAGTTTAACCCTGTTGTAGTTAATGTATCTAAATAGACACTGACATAATCAAAATGTCATCAAAGAAGTGTTAATTAAATGTCACCGTTCCGGTCAATAATTTCGGCCACCTAAAACTATTCATCCGAAACTGAAAATGTATTTATTTTGGTGCTTCTGTCAAATATTTATTTTTGCTGAAATTTCAGCGCATCGCTAATTGCCACTAGAGATAGAAATTACACACTACACCGTTAAACTAGTGACATCTGTGTGTTATCATACTGAAAAACAAGCCATTTAATTTGAGATTAATAGTTTCAGGAGGAAGTATTTAGATGGGTTCCATTTTCTAAAATAGCTTGGCAAGCATTATTTTGCAAAATTTTTATTCTCATTTTTACTTTGCTTCTGACATTATTTTTCATCAGTAAGTAAAACTCATGTTTTCCTTAGACGGTCTACATTAAAAGTCTACATTTACATTTAATTATTTAGCAGCAGAAAATCAATTTTAATAGAATAGAATAAGAGTTGTGTTTGCTCTCGCGCTGCTCTTTGCTGTCTCATCAGACTGTCATTGGCTCAGATGGGAAGTCAGATATCACACCGGCATGATTCACTCCCAGAGGTCTGATAAGTCAGGAATCCCCCCGACAGCAGTCGGCATACCACACTAATGTAGACCATGTGCTGGAGCATTAGAGGGGCCCGCGCTCCGACATACGGCCCTCCCCGACAGCCCATGGCCCAGGGGCGCCAGATTGAGGCAAAACCACCCATTTAATTGTGTTAGGAGAAGAAACCTAGTCTCTTTACTCCAAACACGAGCATGTGTGGGAATTATTGGGTTGAGCGAGCGGCACTGAGCGTTTTGAGCGAGCGGAGCTCCCGCTCCCGCTCCCGCTCCCACTCCGCTCCGCTCACATGCTCTGATTATCACAGATTGATTCTGACACTTTGCTTCATTCGGTTGCTTTTTTGTGAAGGTTTTTGTCAACTCAGTGACTCTGCAGACATCTGCTGTAGTCATAAGATAGATAGATAGACAGACAGAGAGACAGATGGGTAGGTAGATAGATAGTTGACTAGATGGGTAGATGGGATAGTTGGTTGGGTAGTTAGGCAGATATATAGTTGGGTAGATAGGTAGGTAGTTTGGTAAATGGATAGTTGGGTAGATACATAGTTAGGTAAATAGTTGGATGGATAGTTAGGTAGATTGATAGATGGGTAGATGGATAGATAGATAGTTACATAGCTAGGTGTAGTAGATAGTTCGGTAGATAGTTGGGTGGGTAGTTTGTTACTTGGATAGTTGGGTAGATAGATAGTTAGGTAAATAGTTGGATGGATAGTTGGGTAGATGGATAAATTGGAAGATAGTTGGGTGGATAGTTGACTAGATGCATAGTTAAGCAGATAGGTATATATTTGTGTAGATAGATAGATGGGTAGATAGTTTGATAGATGGATATTTGGAGGTAGATATTTGTGTATATAGATAGATGGGTAGATAGTTTGATAGATGGATATTTGGGTAGATAAATGGTAGATAGTTGGGTAGATAGTTGGGTAGATATTTTGGTAAATGGATAGTTGAGTGGGTAGATAGATAGATAGTTATGTAAATAGTTGGATGGATAGTTGGGCGGATGGATAGTTTGGCAGATAGGTAGTTGCATAGATAGGTAGATATTTGTGTAGAGAGATAGATGGGTCAATAGGTAGATAGTTTGGTAGATGTACAGTTGGGTTGGATAGTTGGGTGAGTAGTTGTAGAGCCCTACATTTCAGCCCGGGCCCGACGGGCCACAACTTTTTACACCCCTCGGGCCAGGCTTCGGGCCAGTTTTCACGTCATAGTTCAGACGCGGGCCGGGCCTCGGGCCTGTTTTAGGCTTCTCCTAATTTTTATATTTTAGACATCCATCAATTAGTGATGAAAAAAATTGCCGTGCTGGTGGAAACAACACGAGACCGTGCTACCGTGACTGTCAACTGTAAACTCTGTTTAGTGTCCTGCCAGCAGCAGCATGCGTGCCGTCAGCACAGCTGAAGAGATCTGAGTTCAAATGCAGGCAATATGTGTCAGGGGCTAAATAGTAAGGATATATTTGAATTATTTACTAATAAACGAGTGTTTTCTGAGTCCGTGTCGCAAAGATGAAGATGACGATCCTGACTCGCCATCTCTTCATTAGACGTGCCTTTAGAGAGAAGTGCATCTTTACGGATTATGATTATAATGAAAGAGTTTTTGTTTTCGATTTGTTTTATTTCGTCAAGTGGTCATTTAAAGCTTTCTATAGATTTATTTATCATGTCTGTGAGGCATGTATTCAATGAGTTTCGGTTCATTTTTGTGAAGCACTCCTGTTCAAGATGAGACGGCAGAAAGCGCATCATGTTTGTTTTCTTTATTTTATAAAAGCACAACGTTGTTGATATTGTGAGTGCACACAGATAAAAGTAGACCCTTTACAGTTCCGAATGATGTATTACTCTTAGGCTATTTTAAGTTGTTTCCAC